TTTCGTTCTCCTCATCAATGGCAATATAGACACACTACCCCCACCAAAACCCACCGCACAAAATCTGAAAACCCCCAAAATAGATTCGGCCGATAAATCGGTGGCTGCGGCGAGAACAGAATCATGTCAATGGAGGGCTTTTCATCTTCTATTGACCAGCAGAACATGGTTTCTTCCTTCCTGGAAATTGCCGTCGGCCAAACCGTCGACACCGCTCGTCAATTCCTTCAGGTATTTGCGATTTTTTTTTGGTGATTTATGAGCCTGATTAATTTTGCCAGCTGCTGATTTATGGAACTTGAATTTTGAGTTGCTGTCTGCAAAAAAAAAAAAAGAGGCAAAGAGGAGTGTGCTTTTTTACATTTAATTGTTCAGTTGAGTTGTGGCAGGATGGGGGTTCGGTGTCTTGTGTGCTCGGTAATTGGAATCGAGGTGTTTTTTGGAACTGATGTATTGTGTGTGTGATAACTGTGATCTTTGGTAGTTCGTTATGCGATTATATTGTGCTCTCATGGTGGATCACTGAGATTGTTGTTTCCGTTTACCAATTTTAATGCTTTTCCCAATCGATTAATGACCGGTTCATGTAAATGTTGATTCAGACACCAACGACAACAACGACACCGTGAGATTGTTATTTATCTTATACATGATTATCTGAAAATCAATGAACAAAGTAAATGTCTGTGGTTGTCGTTGGGTGTCAGGGTTTCTGGCTTTCACACTCGTTTACTTATTTTCTTGTCTGAACTTCGGAGTCAATTCCATTGCACCTCAAGCTATACATTATCACATCTCTAATTATGATAGAGGCAACCACTAGTTCAAACTGCAATGACTATGGAAAGTTTTATGTAGCACCCTGTTAAGGCTTTCAGTCATGCTAAATCCAGCTGGTGACTCAATTTGGTGGTATTTCAATGCCAAGTGTGTAGGATTTCAATATTCGGGTGTTCATGGTGGTAAAAAATTGAGATTTGTTGGATGAGCTATAATTGAGGGAGAAACATTAGAACATGGATTTTTTCTGCTGAATATAGAATAACTATAAGATATTATAGTGTTAAAGTTGGATGGGAAGAAATACAAGAAGATTAGCAAGGAAAGTATAAATAAGAAAAAAATCCTTACAAAAGAATATCAAATTGGTAAGAGAAGAACACTGCTGCATCCTCTATTGCCTTTGGGGAGGGATTGAGCAAATTACTGCATCATGTGCACATAATTTTTTTTTAACTTAATAATATACCTCTGAGAAACTACAAATTTTAATGGCACTATTCGGAATAAATCATGGGTTAATTTTGGTGACACTTTATTGCATTTAGGATTTACGGTGTTGGAATTATTAGCTGTGTTTTCCAGAAGCTCCTAGCTGTACAGGATTTGGTGAACCCATGGCATTTGATTATCCTGTTGTGTTACCATTGCTCATATTGAAACCACCAGGGCTATAGGAAAAGGTCGGGGATTCGTATCCCTTTGGGTGTGTGTGTTGTAATGGCCACTTAAGGCCAATTTTTTTTAGAAATAACCATTGGTCATATTGAAAAGGTTAACACTGTGATTGTGACCATTGCTTGAATTGCAGTTGTTAATGCTGCTGTGATTGGACCTTGATATTAAAAAAAGAATAGCTTATGAGGGTCTTTCCTTTACATTTTTTGTTGCTAAGGGTGTCATTTTTTCCTTCCCGTCATTATTTATAGTGCAACATGAGTATCATTTGAATGTATATTATTGTCATATATTGAGAGATTCATTATTTATGAAATGTTGCACAAACATTCACATAATGCAGGCCACTGGATGGAGGCTTGAGGAAGCTATTCAACTTTTTTATGTAGGACATGAAGGTGGGTTAGCTACAGAATCTGTATATTCTACACCAGCAGAAAACGATCTGCCCCTCGATGAATCAAATAATGAGGCATTGTAATGTGGAGAAACATAAATATGTGGTGCTCTGTTCCCTAGCGTTATAGTAGTTTTCAAATTTGCTTATCTTTGAATGTAGTGAGCTGGGAAAGGAATTGATGGATAGAGATGTGAGAATAAATGATGGAAGTGATGTACGAGCACCTTTACCTGTGAGAAGGGATGTTCTTTATGATAGCTCAATGCTCTACGGGTATACTACTACTTCCTCTCTTGTTCATGACACACATGTCAATCGCATTTACAGTGCTTCTTCTTAGATATTGATGAGAAACTAAGCTAGTTTATTTCACCTAGGTTGTGATTGATCATGTACAAATCTAGGTCTAGTCATTTCTGTTTCTCTGTTCTCTGTCTTTTTTCTTAAGTTTGACTTGAAAGTCTGTGTATGTTTGATGTTGTGCTCTTAGACGTATCTTTTGATCTATTGTGATCCTACATATCTGTTATTATCAATTTTTTCTCCGTGGCTATATGTTTACAATGTTATGGGGTCATTGCAATTTACAAGAAAAAAAAGTTGAGATTTCCCAAGTGTACTTGGCTATGAGGGGCGTTCCAGACGGAACATAAAGTTCAAAATGTGGAAGACCAATTATTTTTTTTGGACAAAAGTACATTTAAGAATTTCACTCATATGTTTTTATTAAGAAAGCTTTAGTACTTTGTACTTATTTTATGGGCCAAAGTATCATTATTTTGGGCTAGTATAATCAGTATTAGTTATGGCTCTTTAACTAATGCACAGTCTTGGGCGAATCCCCCAATGGTTGAAGCTTTTATGGTGTTTTACCACTCAGCCTAAACATTCTGTGCATTGTTTAGGATTTAAGAGTTAGGCACGTTACTGTTTTTCTCTGCTACATTCTACACGAAAAGACCCAAAATCTCAGACTTGAACTAGGGACTCGTTTCTAACTTTTATTACTTCTTTCTTCATTTTTGGTTACCATTTCTGGAAAAGGTTTCTCATTCATGTAAAATTGCAAGAATGGTGTAATGAGGTAATATAACTTGATGAGTAAGAAAATAAAGTCTTGTTGCTCTAGTGATGCCATCACTCATAAATATTTTTAACACATGATTCTCCCAGTCTTCCGCTCGCGCTCCACTCTCAAGCTTTTGTCGATTAGTTATTTATCAAGCTCAAAGCTGATGCTAGTTATCCCCAAATGCCTGTAAGGACAACTAAATCAAGATAAAATCTTCATTTCCAGATTAATATATATACAATGCTAATTAAGACAGATAATTTAGTATAAATTAGGCTTTTCAAGAAAATACAAAGGACTGTTTATTTAATAGAATACGAGTTGTCTGTCCTTGGAATCAGCCAATTTCATGAACTCTCCTATCAATGTTATCTTCATTTTTTTTTCTTCTGAATTAACTCTGATAAAATCTGGTGAATGCAGAGGCTGAATTATGTCTTCTTTTGCCTATTCTCATAAAAATGACTAATAAATCATGTTTGTCCATTTCCAGTAGAGTTCAAAGAGTGGGAGATTCACCACATGCAACTCATTCTGTTGTTCCTTTCCGTAATTTTGATGAGGAAATGAAACATCCCGGAGTCTGGGAAATAGAAGCAGGTTCATCTTCTTCCGTTGCCGATAAAACTCAGGATAATCTTGCATCTTTATATCGTCCTCCATTTGCTCTGATGTTCCAGGGGCCTTTTGAAAAGGTAAGTACCTATTTATGTTTAGAAATTTCACATATATAATATAGGCGCCTCTAATTTTCTTATCTGGCATCGCAAGGAAGCTATGATGTGCCTTAAGTTGTATCTCTTTCACACTATAATGATATCAGCTTCAACTTCATGCAAAAAACTTTGTTTTGTTCTCTTCACCTACTGTGATTTATTTGGCAATGGTATAGATGTTTGTGATACAATTTTTTTGACTTTCACTTGGCAGGAGGAAGTGCTAAGTTAACTGGTTAAGTTAGTGCCAACATAGTCCTTTTCTTCCAATTCTTAATAGTTATAAATGTGCTTTTGTTTTTTCATTATGCCTGACAATTTACTTTAGTTTTATTGCTGGGTAATGCATATTTATAGTTTATTACCATAACATGCCACAGGTTAATATAATATCAAATTCTTTTTTCTTCCTTAAATTACAGGCTAAAGATAATGCAAGGATGCAGAACAAGTGGCTCCTTGTAAACATGCAGTCCACCAAGGAATTTAGCTCGCACATGGTATTTGTTTTTTGATCTCTGCCTCTGTATCTGTCTATCTCTCTTTCTCACATACACACATGGTGCAAAAAAGAGAAATGTAGTTTCCTTAGAATAAAATAAAATATATACATCAGGTAAAGGCAGTTTAGTGCCATGGAGTTATAAATGATAAAAAGTTGAAACCAAGAATGGCTGAAAAACCTGATCTTGCTTGTCTCTTAAGCCCCTCATATATCTTACTATAAAAATTGTCGAGATTGCCTTCCTAGGTCGTGAAGAATGCATTGCATACCCCAAGTAACCGTTTTAAAACGAAATAGAAATCTGACTTAATGACTCACAAAAACAGATGAGAAACATCGCAACATCGATAGCCTCGGATTGTGGCAGTCTGTTCAGTATACTGAAGTGAAGTGGTGAAATCCTTCATTTGGGGAAATAAATCGCATAGACTACCTGGCTGGATTGATGGTTCGGAAAAAAAATATGTCATGTTGATGTCCAAGTTTGTTGATGCAATGGATGAAAATCGGGGACCTCTTAGTTTCTTAATCAAGATTGGTTAATGTTTGTGCAGTCCTTTTGATGGACATAATTTGTTATTTTTACAATCGTCGCTGACATGATAGCCATTGTTATACTTGTCTTTTAGACGCTTCACATTGATTCTTCAGACTTGCTATAGTAGATCTAGCGTTATGGTTTCTCCTGTATTCTCATGATTTTTCGCTATAGGGTTTAGAGGGTCCAGAATTTAGGAAATACCAGAAGCTGGTAATTCTGGATCTAGGTTTTAATTCGTGCAATGTTAGATGATGCATCACACTGGTATTATTATGCCCTAAAACAACCCTTTTTTCTTTCTGACAATAGAGTTGGAAAAATTCCCCATCTCTCGCTCTCATATGTTTTATTTTACTCAAATTTAACTTGATGCATATCATGACATGCTTCTAAATTGTATTTGTTGCTTTGAAGCTAAACCGTGACACCTGGGCAAATGAAGCTGTTGCTCAAACCATCAAAACCAACTTCATCTTCTGGCAGGTTTGTATTATTCTGTTGCTAAATGAATCAAATGAAATTTCTGTGGTAGAGAAGTTGGTTCGTTCGAAAAACTATGTATTCTAACTGATCTATATGTTCGGTGAATTTTCTTGAATATCATAGGCAACGAGTTATTCTGTCTTTTCCCTTCTTGAAATATTGTTATTCATTTTACTTGTTATGTGAGTTTCATGTCATGTTGATCTGTGCATCGTTCTGTGTGCTTTAGGTATACGATGATACAGAAGAGGGCAGCAAGGTTTGTACTTACTATAAACTAGATTCCATCCCTGTCATTCTCTTGATTGATCCTATAACGGGCCAGAAGTTGCATGCTTGGCGTGGAATGGTTCAACCGGAAAATTTGCTCGAGGTAAATTAAGTACTTTTTGGCCACACAAACATCCACCGCAAACATTCTTTTGTTCTTTTATTGTTTACGGGAAAACCAAAAATACAGATATACCCTTGGAGGACTTTCAGGCTTTTACTTATGTGAATTGTTTTCAGTTTCTAACTATGTTCCTGACTTGGGTTTTAATTTACCTTTATTCTTCTCGTGGTAGGATCTGGTGCCATTCATGGATGGCAGCCCCTCAGATCATCATGTCAGTCTATCTCATAAACGTCCGAGAGTACATACCGAAGCACCAGTTCATCATATTCAATGTATGCTAGTATTTTTTTGGGTTCATTTTTCGGTTTTCCTGGTATTAAATAAATGGCTCACAGAATGATAATCACCAAAAAAATTAAAAAATTGCTACAGCAGCTGCAGCTGAAAATCACGATGAAGATGAAGAGGAAGAATTGCAGCGAGCACTGGCAGCTTCTATGGTGGACACTAAAGAAATCGACGAGGGTGACTCGAAAGAAGTGACTGAAGCAAATAATGCTGAGGAGACAGAGAAGAAGCCTTCTTATTTACCGTTGCCTGAAGAACCGAAAGGTGACAGAAGCCTACTTTGCAGAGTTGGAGTCCGTCTCCCTGATGGCCGCAGAGTGCAGAGGAACTTTCTTCGCACTGATCCAGTTCAGGTAAAAATATTTATGATCTTTTGTTTTTGTGTGATATCAATTTTATTCCGGAAATTTCTTTGTATGATAGCAATATTATCTATTTCTTTTTTCATGAATGATCTTTTCCTTTGGTGCATCGTATTTTTATTACTCTCATCGAGCTCTA